CTTTTCCTCATAACTCTGTAGGATAGATATTGTTACATTTTGAAACTTTGGGTCAGAGAAGTTAAGTGATTTGCCCAAGGTTATACTGTTAATAAGTAGCATAACTGAGATATGAATACATATCATAGTCTGTGCTATTTTTATTACACCATACCAATACCCCTTCAAGCCTTAAATACCTAAAATCACATAAATGTAGAACTCTTAGAGCTGGGAGAAATTTCTATAGCGGTCCTATAGTCCAACTCTCTAATTTTACAAATGAAGAAACTGAGACCTGGAGAAGTAAAGCAAGTAACCAAAATCACACAGTAATTGGAACCTAGATCTTTTGATTTTTGGGCCACTGATTGTTTCTCAATACAGTCCTACAACTTAAAATTCATTACCTGTGACTGAAAAAAAAATTAATTAAACAAACAAAAAACCCAAACTATGGGCACTGTTTTAATGTAGCAATATTTGCCTAATATTGATAACAATATTGTGAAAGAGTGGGGGTGGGGTAGGAATGAGGAACGAAGCAGAGCAAAACATTAAACTTCTTCCCTAGAGGCTGACCACCTCTAGAAGAGAAAGCCAATCATCCCTTCTTTCCTTTTCCAATCTGGCCCAGGACCTTTGCACACGCTGTTCCTTCTGCCTGGTATGCTTGCTTATCCTTCTTGTTTAGTTGATCTCTATTCTTGCTTCAGATCTCAGCTAAAAATATTATATTCTAAGGGTCATCTTCCTGGGCTTCCCTGACTGAATAAATGCCCTCATTAGGTACTCATAGCACTACATCTTGCCTTTGGATTGTGAATCACAGTTGTAATTTTACTTTTACCTGTGGTGTTTTGATTCATATCTGTGCTGTGGGTAGCCTGGAAGTTCCATGAGCAGAGTTAATGCACATATGGCTTCCTGTTGTTTTCCTGTTGCCTCACACAGTATCCTGCATGGAAGAGACACTTAATATATATTTGCTGAATGAATCAGTGAATGAATTTGACAAATATTTATTGAGCATCTACTAGGTGCTTTGCAGGAGCCCTGGTGGCATGGTGGTTAAGTGCTCGACTGCTAACCCAAAGGTCAGCAGTTCAAACCCACCAGCCGCTCCATGGGAGAAAGATGTGGCGGTCTGCTTCTGTAAAGATTTACAGCCTTGGAAACCCTATGGGGCAGTTCTACACTGTCCTATAGGGTCTCTGTGAGTCAAAAGCAGTGGGTTAGTGGGTTTAGGTGATTTGTGATAGTCATGTGGCAAGGTACAATGACACATGAAAAAGATACTCTGCCTTAACAAAATGTTGTTGTTAGTTGTCTTGAAGTTGGCTCGAACTCATGGCAACCTTATGTACAGCAGAACAAAACATTTCCAGGTCCTGTGCCATCTTCATGATCATTGGTATGTTTGAACCCATTGTTGTGGCTATTGTGTCAATCCATCTCATTGAGAGTTTCTCTCGCTTTCACTGACCCTCCACTTTACTAAACATGATGTCCTTCTCTAGTGATTGGTCTTTCCTGATAATGTGTCCAAAGTAAGTGCGCTGAAGTCATATAGTAGGGGGGAAGAAGAAATATGACACATACCTGGAAGTTAAATGCACAATTCTGTGGGAGTTCAGATATTCTACAGGGGCCGTCTTGCTTTACTTCTGGAGCCTGATCTTTGGCTGCAGTCTCCTCACTCCTCCCTCCACTTGCACTTTGACCCTGCAGTGTGGAATTACTGCAGCTTCCTGAGGCAGCCTGGCCCCGGGATCATGGCTCAGGCTGATATCTGCCAGCAAAGCCACCTTTCTATGTATCCCCACCACACACCCCACCCCACCCCACCTTCTTCACCTGGCAGACATCTACTTATCCTTGAAAAAAACAGTAAAAAGAAATTGCTGTCAAGTCAATTCTGACTCCTGGAGACCCCATGTATGTCAGAGTGAAATTGTACTGCCTAGGGTTTTCAGTGGCCGATTTTTCAGAAGTATATCACCAGGCCTTTCTTCTGAGGTGCCTCTGGGTGGACTCGAACCTCCATCCTTTCAGTTAGCATCCAAGAGCAATAACCATTTGCACTACTCAGGGTTTTACTCATCCTTCAAGACTTGGTTAATAAACACCTCCTCTTGTGTGGTTTTTCTTGTGAGTTTTTCCTCTGAGGTGGCAATGGTGGCCATCGTGCCCTCAACACTCTTGTCTAGACACTGCTCACCCATTATTGAGTTTACTGCTTTATAGCCCTGTCCTCTCAACTAACTGTGACCAGGTTTTCCACCTCTGCATCCAAGAGTTTTGAATGGTTTCTGGAACAAAAGATATTTGTTAGATAAATTCCTTTTTTCTCTTTAAAATCAAACCATTGAAAACTATTCAAGTCATATTGAAACCCTGATTGGGAAATAGATAGTAAATATTTACAGTTTCTCTAAATAGAAGGTTCTCCTTTGCGTGTGTAGATACAGTTATAACACAACTTACTACCGTTTACACTGTATAAAATAAAATTTCTACTGTGCTCGTAAAGCCATACAGTGCATTTTATATATCACAATATAAATATTTAATTCATGCAATGGCTAGACACTTGTGGACTTAAAAAATAAAGTAAAAAAAAGAAGGTAATCATTCTCTCTGCTCTCAAAGAGGTTAATGTCTAGACCAGGAGTTAACACTGTTGGGCTTTGTCTTAGTTATCTAGTCCTGCTATAAAAGAAATACCACAAGTGGGTGGCTTTAACGAACAGAAATTTATTTCTTCATAATTAGGAGGCTACAAGTGTGAAATCAGGGTGCTGGTTCTAGGGGAGGGCTTCTCTCTCTGTCAGCTCTGGGAAAAGGTCCTCATCTCTTCAGCTTCTATCCCTTGGCTCCTTGGTGAGCTTCATGTGGCATGGCCTCTATCTTTCACTGTCTCTGCTCTCTTGCTTGTTTGTTTAATTTCTTTTATCTCTCAGATAGATTGATTTAAGACACACCCTACACTAATACTGTCTCATTAACATAAAAAAGAAAACCCATTCCCAAATGGGATTATAAAAACCCA